TCTCAAGAAAAACGACTTTTACCAGAACATTACGGGTCTAAAGTGATTAAGGCTATTAAAAATTAAAAAAGTCTTTAAAAGGTAATATATTCAAGGATGTATTGTATGCTGTTTTATTGTTGTACCTTTTCTTGACCATATCTCGTCCTTTGATATTTTTGAAAATATCAAAGCTTTTATCGAAATCTTTTGCTAATTAGACCGATCAGAAAATTCTTTATACATGACATATTTTAAGCAACGAAGGAAGGGGCGGACGACGATTATCGAATGAAGATTTCGTGACCGAAACGGACTATGGTTATGTTGTTTCACTTGAGTAGCCTTGCATGGCTCGCTCTAAAATTCCAGTACAAGCTGGACTAGCCTCAGGAAGTTCCACTGCTGCGCTGCGTGCGTCGGGGATATAAATTAGACAGTAAACAAAGAGATAACAAAGAGAGCAATGAAGCGAAATGATTACTGATACTCTATGAATATTCAATTTAATGCATACGGCACGCGCCATTTTGCGCTCTTTCGACTGATACCCCAATAAAGTCTTTACCGTAATTGGTTATTCTATAAGTGAGCTAATTGTGTTTTGACCCTTACTCTTGGAATCTGGAACGTTTCTGGATTCCGGATTCCATACTCTAGGATTCCAATTCCACGTTGGATTCAGTCGAATGCTCACATATTTTCTACTTAGGAGCTTCTTAACATATATACCGCCTTACCTCCGTATGCATATGAACAGCTCGACGTATGAATCATTTATTAGTTCAGAGTGACTATAGCACAGTGGCAAAGAACTCCCCATCCCCCCCCCAAGATGCCTGTTCACCTGACCAATCAGACTTTTCAAGAGTGTAGTATTGTTCGTTTATTTTCAATATCATTTCTATACTAAATGATAACATTTCTTATTTATTTCCACAGTGGAAAGGTTCCTCAGGTAAGGTAATGTGCTAGCCAGTAAGGTATATTGAAATAAAAGAAAAAATGAAATAAATAATAGTCATGTTGACAGCACTTTGACCTATGATTGCTCAGCTGTCTCATGCCATCAAAATGACTGCCTATCTTTTGTTTTTGTTTTTTTTGCAAYGCAAGAAAATGATTGAAAAACAGYGATTCAAACGCGATTCAGCTAGAGTTCTGACTTTTTGTCACCCTCTGACCGGATTTCCACAACAATTTTTCCAATGTTAGTGTTACTCTCCATCTTCTTGTGTGCATCGGTAATCTTCTCCATTGGAAATATGCTGTCCACAATGGGCTTTAGTTTACCTGTACTAAAGTAGGGAAGAACGTCTTTTGCTAGAGCAGCAACAAGCTCTGCTTTGTACTGAGTAAAGACAAAAACAGGTATATTGAAAACCAAGGAAAACAAACCTCTTTTTGAGTAAGTTCCTGCTACTAAAATACTAACCTCAATTGATCTGGTTCGAAGAGTTGTTCCTGTTATAGAAACCCTTTTCTTCAACAGTGTTGATAGAATAGCACCATCAACACTCCCACCACCAAGGAGTCCATACAAAACCCAGTGACCATCCCTTGCTATACTTTTGGCATTTTTTTCCCAGTAAGACCCACCAACACAGTCTGTGATGACATTAACTCCTTTGTCTGAGTAGATATAAATTATATCAACATAAAGTTATCAGAATATTGTATGATCAAGCTAGAAATGCTGAAATTTCTGGTGTCTAGTTTTTTGGAGCAATATTTTCACTTTTTTGTGGTATKAGAGAGATTAAGTAAATCTGTTAAAGGACCCATATAAATCTCATTAAGTTGTCAGTCTTTTCCCATTTGAAAATTCATCAAGTTTCATGAAAGGCAGCCTGCAAAAATTTATATTTCTAGTTATACTGCATTCCCCATACCTTGTGTTTTCTCAAGAATCCACTCTGAAAAATCGCCAGTTTTGTAATTAAAACCTGCTTCGGCACCCAAAGCCACAGCATTCTGAATTTTTGACTCGCTTCCTGCAGTCACATAAGGAATGGCACCAGCTAGCCTTGTAAGCTGTACTAACGACGTCCCAACACCACTACCCCCTGCATGTATCAGGACATTATCTCCTGATTGGACTTTGCCAATAAAGTGCAAAAGTTGATAAGAAGTTAGCCATACTTCTGGAATTGCAGCAGCATTTGACAAAGAAAATGATTCTGGTACCGCCATTGCATGTGCTTCATGAACTGTTACGTAATCTGCATATCCACCTCCTATAAGAAAAAGATATAGAATGGAAGTGAATGAATGAATGGAAGAAAAAAAAAATAAACGGGCAGATGAGATAAAGAAAGTGAAAAAAGGCAAGAAAAATTAAGAAAGAATAGACGAAAATAAAAAGTGAGATTAAATTGTGAAATTTAACTTTACCTGGGACCAATGCCATTACTCTATCTCCCTTTCTAACAAAGAAGAAAATAAACGCCAAATCAATTTWAAAACATAGCCATTACTAATATAGCATTACAATTTATATATTGGGCTTCCTGTGTCTATGTTCTTTTGTTCGTGATCAAAGCGTTTTACAATCAATCAAGCATGACAAATCGGTGAAATAAAGTGCATGATATTGCAAAGGTTGATTAGTGTCAATTTTAGCATGACAAAACTAAAATAAATCTATCAAACGTTAAGTAAACTAAATGTAGCTCGAATCTCAATTAAATTTTGGGCACCAAGCTAAGTAAGCTTCATGCAAATTTCGCAAGCTCCTGTAGCGGCAGGGGGTCATTCTTTATTTACAGGGTGTAGCTTCTGTCCACAGACCAGTTTTAAACATATTTAGATATTTTTGAATTCCAAATGTCCCTTGTCCTCATTTCATCGGGTGTGGTTCCAAGAGAGATTTCCCTTGCGTGACGTTTTCGCACATTTCGAAATTATCAATTAGATTTCAAGGACTGCTCGTGTCAAAAATAGGCTTATTATTTCAAATACAAGTACTTGTTTGAAAGTTTTTACCATGTTCATCATGTTTTTCAATGCATTACACAGCAAATTGATGAATAAAAAGCGCTTATTAGCGGAACTTGTCGAGTCATAGTCACGTGACCAACCAAGTTTGTTGATGACTGTTATTCCTCACCTCCAGTTCAGTTTACAAGTTGAATGCAGTTCTTCTACAACGCCGGACACTTCAACTCCAAGGATTTCAGATTCCCCTGGTGGAGGAGGGTAGCCCCCTTTCCTTTGCAAGGTATCTGCTCGGTTCAAAGCCGAGTAGTATACGCGAAGTAACAATTCATTTGGCCGTAGATTAGGTCTTGGGACTTCACCGATCCACATTTTCTCAGGTCCACCGGGCTCGTATAACACAGCTCGCATGTTTTGGGACGCCATTGCCGAACAAGTCACGCAAAATGTAAGAAAGAATTGTAAATTTGACCAACGCATTGTGGGATTTGGRRTCACAGCTGAGCGGAGACAATYACCACAGGAAACCCAACAATAATGATACACAAAAGTTCGATATTTTATAACATCTAAACATATAAACCTTTGAAAGTCTTTTTAATATCCCAAGTGTCTATAAATATCYTTTTTTACTTAGCATTGAAGCTTTCTAACTAAAGAAATATCTGATTATACCAAAGGGATAGGAATGGGCTCCCTGTGYGTTAGAGCGCGCATGAGTTGCGCACATGTGCCTACAAGAAGATGGCGGACGAAGACGAGCTCCCAAGTAAACGCTTGAAATTGTCCGAAAATTCCTCTCTAGWTGATCCAMATTTTGCCAAAAACCCACCCCAAGATAATGCTCAAGCCGAAGACTCGACGAAACGGCAAATATATGAAGAAAACAACGAAGTGTTATCACGCAAACAAGTCAAAGCTGAGGAAAAACCCGAGAAAATCTTCCCAATTTATACCAAAGGAGAASATGTAGCAATTACAGAATACATAGGCAAGCATAGAGGGTTTCATGGTGTCTTAAAACAGAGGTTTGTAGACTTTATWGTCAACGAACGTRACGCWGAAGGTAACTTAGTTCAACTAACACACACTAATGTCCCTCCTTTGGAAGAGGATCCTGAGAGCGACAATGTTTTGACCACTGAAGAGATTGAAAGGATACAGTCCGTCTCTGATAGCAAAGAAAAATCTTTCTTTGTGACATTAAATGCGGATGATGATAAAGAGCATAGGACTTTGGTTCATAAATCCATAAAAAAGATATTTCCACATCTAGGTAGGTATATTGTTTTTATCACTTTATAAAACATATATTCTCCATGGAATGATACAACTATGATTGCTGTTTTTATCAAAGATACTGAAACTGTAACAGTTGATGGTCACAAGGCTGTCAAAGTCTACCGCTACCACGGTAACCCATCAAAGAGGCGAACTGATAAATGGCCGGCAAACCGTGGCAACTTCTGCAAGTTTGTCCTTCACAAAGAAAACAAGGACACTATGGAAGCAATTTGTCTTCTGGCAAAGCTTGTGCATGCTAAGTCCAGTGCATTCAGCTATGCTGGTACTAAAGATCGTCGAGGAGTAACATCTCAAGAGGTTAGAGCCTACCGAGTCCAGGCTCAAAGGCTTAAAGGCCTGAACAAAACTCTCAAGGGAATACAACTGGGCAACTTTGAGTATGTGCAAGATGGCTTGACATTAGGGCAGCTATCAGGCAACCATTTCATCATTACTCTACGAGACATCCAAGGGGAACGTGATGATATTGAACAAGCTATGAAGTCGTTGAGGGATGTGGGTTTTATTAATTATTATGGGCTGCAGAGGTTTGGCACTTCAGCAGTACCTACACATCATATAGGTGAGATATTAATAAAATAATATTATAAGGAATGGCAAATGGTCATTTGAGGATATCTGAGATGCCAAGATTTCTAAATTTAGATTGAGGTATACTTTRAGTTTTTTGGCCATGACTTTTGTTGTTTTTTTACAATTTCCAAGGGYGCTGAGACTTTACACCAAACACTTTAAGTTTAAGTATTATTCAAAGAATTCTAGACTCTGAGGCAGGAAAAAATTAGGTGCAAATATTCCATGGCTATGAATACAGAGAGCAGTTTTTCCCTATTTGCATCAATACCGACATAGATAAACTCACATATAGGTATATGTAATTTATTAGAAAAAGCAGAAGTGTAAAGCAGATCATTAAGAATCATATCTGTAGACCAAGATTGAATAAATTCTTATGTTAATTCTTAACAAATTATAATTTTGGATCTTGAAATCTCCATGTATCTGTACATATATGTAGCAGTGTATCCCAACCTTGTTAATTTGATGCAATAGGTAAGGCTTTACTCCTAAGTAAGTGGTCAGAAGCAGTCCATGCTATTTTGAGTCCAAAAGCAGGCAAAGAGCATGAGTTTAATGATGCCTTGAAGTTATGGAGGGAGACTGGTGATGCAGCTAAAGCCCTTCAGATCTTATCAAGACATAAATGTATTGAGAACACTTTATTGCAGGTAATATTAACTGTATTGGTAATGGAAATGAAATAATTTCTTAGCTGATTATTGGAAAAAGCTTTTTACTAAATTAGGCAGCGAGAAAAGCATAACAACCTCCGCAGGTGCTTTTATAATCTAAGAGTTTCTAGAAAACTTGGGTTTCCTGTGTTCSAATGAGATAAGTACTAGGTTCTAGTTAGGTTGCTCTATGCCTGTTCCCACTTGGGGTGACCTACATAGCATGCAGTTGATGTAATGTATTCATAAAATGTATTGTATTCCATTGTTTCTCGTTCTATTGTATTATGTGTTTTATATTATATCTTTATGAATATATTACATCAACTGCTACGTAGATTCTCCCGTTCCCACTCTTCCCTAATTTTYCACAGGAAACCCAACTTACCATGAAAACCAAATAATAAGGGAATAGGTGATGCATTTATCATATGGACATTCAGAGCATCACATAATAAATTTTAAGGTAGCTGAAAAAGGTTTTGGAAATGTTTTTTAGGGTTTGGTGAAACATGGTAGTAAAGACCTTGTCAATGCGTTACAGTGGATACCAAGGAATACTCGTTTAATGTATATCCACGCATATCAGAGTTTTATTTGGAATTCTGCTGTCTCATGGCGTATTAAGGTAACATGCTTGATACATAATATGATTTATTCAAAATAATCACAAACTTGTACCATAATGTACAGCCACTGCTCTGMTTTCATTAGCTCTTAGCTATTTTCRGGACATTTAGCAGACTTTGTACAAAATAAATGTATAWTATATGATGTGATGGGCTTAAAAATATGCTTTAGTTCAGTGTCACAATGCATGCTAAAGTACACACTCCTTAGATCCACTTCCAGAATGCCGTTGACWCATGTCTGTCATTCATATGTGATATTTATATGTATGTCCGTGTGTCTCTAAGCATTCAACAGCTTTACCGCTGCACATTGGAAGTGCATGAGTCATTGGTGTGTTAGATTACTGTACCTCTTGTTGAGTACTTCAGGTCTTTAGCCGACTAACAGCAGTGATAATTTACTGAGGTACTTAGTTGCTGGGTTAGTTTCTTTGTTGCTTCAGACTGGACTCAACAAGGGACATTATTATCATTTATCGTCATTATCATCATCATCATTATTAGATTGTGATTATTTGTTAGTTAGTGATTGTAAACAAAATATTTTTCTCCAAGAAATATGGTCTTACTCCTGTAGAAGGCGACCTCGTTTTGACAGACGAACTACCTTTCAGTTCTGATGGCAGTGTTAGAGAGGAATCAGAAGGTATACCATAACTCACTCTATTTCTTTTGACATTTAACCTTCTGAAAAGATCGTTTTAGATAATATTATGTGTGGAAATCACTGTAAATTTTCAGAGAAACTTAGGGTGAAGAAAAATCGAGCTAATCAATAAGTTACATTAAAGGCCAACAGGCGTCTTCTCGAAAGTTGCTTTCTGATGGGTTCAAAATCAAAATTAGCGACTTCTCGTATGTGAGAAAGTCGCGCAAAGGCTCTCGGGTACTGATGGGCCTTTAAGAAAGACGTTAAAATGTTCCTAATTCTGTCGTTTAGATGCTTCCTGCCAAATGCGAGACAAGGACGCATTATCTGCCCCACGCTCTGTCCCCGTGCGTATGTTAACAGCAGAAGACGTCAAATCAGGGGGGTTCACTATTCATGACATCGTCATGCCACTACCCGGTTATGATGTAACGTACCCTGGTTATAATTCCAAGCAGTTCTATAAGGAACTGATGGATAAAGATGGCATYGATATTGATAATCTCCGGCATCGTGTCAAGGACTACTCCCTATCTGGGGCTTACAGGTAAGCTGATATAACGGTCCTCTTACCTAATGACGTCATCTGTGCTTTGGCGAATTGCATCATGGTATTGATGAAAGGATCAAAATGGCGAATGCCAGATGACGAAGTCTCTTTGCAAAATTAGCGCTTTTGGAAGTTTTGAAACTTTAAATGAAATGCAACAAAATAAAACAGAACGGAAGAACAACRGAACGGAAAAGCAACGACATGCTTCAGATCCTACTTTCGTCAGTACCTTGGTTCATCTCGCTGACGTCGTTGGCCTAAGGAAATGTGTTTTCTGGTTCAAAAAAGTTACATTATTAAAGACCGAAAGAAGAATTGGAAGGCAAACAATTATTAATATGTTATTATGTGTATAGTAATGTTTAATTTCCCTCCCGAGCAAAGAATCATGGGCAGGAATGATGATGATGACGATAATGATGATGATGATGATGATGCAGTACATGTCATCCAAATACCCATATACCCCGTCGGTCGTAACTTTCTCTGACGTCACTTTTTTGAGCCCCAAAACCCAAGACATTATACTATGACAAGTAGATAATAATAGATAATAATTATCCACAGGAAACTGGTTATAAAACCCGCTCATACTTGCTGGTGTTACCATCGTTACAATGACGTCAATGAACCGTTAGTGCTCACTGATAAAGATAAACTAGATGGCAAAACAACCTTAGTGGTCCCCCCTGGGGAAAAATATTTAGCGTTACAAATTGAACTGACACTACCCCCCTCGTGTTACGCCACAATGGCAATAAGGGAAGTRATGAAGTGCGAGACGGCATCTTCTCATCAAGCTACTTTAAATAAAGCTTAATTTTACATTAAAAAGTAGTATTACTGTATTTTTGAGGTTCTTAATGGAAAAGTACCTTTATTTCAAAGAGATTTCGTAGTGCTTAAAACAGACTTTTAAGTAACTATGGAAACGTGCTCGAATCAAAGGTTTCATATTTCATCATTTCATATCAATTCTGTTGTCKCTCTTTTCAAATTCCATGCGTTTTCTCGGGCTATCAATAAAAYAAAAGAATATGTTRCTTGGTTTTRAGGCTAACACAGAGCWAACCAGAACTCGAAATTGGAGTATTGTGTTTATCACAGTTCTTTTATGTAATTCTAGTGGATTTTTATTCAAATATAATTTATATCATAATGCAAACATGGGACTATGCATTTGCATGTTGTTTTTAGTGATGGGAAGGTACCAGGTGCGCGGCTGCTAAATATATCCATCGTCCTTTGCGTTGGCTCTCGACCCAGTCCTTTACATGTTTTACCAGAACCGTTAAGTTCTCAATAAAAAATTAGTTCGCAAACCATAAATTTGTCAAAAATAGCTGCAATGGCAAGCTTGCCGTTGTATACATCAACGCCTGTGGCTCCTTTGAGTTCACWTCCGTTATTTTTGTAAACTTCACGTAGCTCRAACGCCGGAAATGGAAGGGAACTGTGTGGATTTTCTTCTCCCAGTTTCACTTGAACAACTTGAGAAGGCGCTGGATAGTCAATATTCTCGTTAAACTGTACAAAATCCARTGGTTTTGGAATTGTTGCAAGCCATAAGTCCCCKGTTTTACGGTCAAGGTTGATATTGTCCACAAACGTACCCATTTCAATAGTCTGGAATTCAAATATAAATAACACGTATGTAGACAAGCAGATTAATTACTGGTCCGGATGCAGGATTTGTTAAGAGGATGGAAATTCTTTTTAAATAGCTAAATTAGAAAAGCAATTATACAATAATTCAGTTTATAAGGTGTTTCTTTAATTTTAGTTTATACGGATCAGGAGATAGATTCCAACTGAATAACTTAAAAAACTGTTTTTCATCAGTATTAAGGCCCGTTTACACTCGCAATTTTTGTCGCGCACCTCCATTCGTACGTGTAAACAGCCCTGCGATTGTCGCAGCGATCGAAAATCGCCGCAAGTTGCAGCTAAATTTCAAGCATGTTCTAAACTCAGGCGATTGTCGCGCGACAATCGCGCTTCAAAAATTGCAAGTGTAAACGGGCCTTTACCTGCACGTGCTTGAGAAGAAAACCTCCTTCGTCCCTTCGATATATATTAAGCGCACCATTCATTCCAGCGGATACAAACAAGTATCTTTAAAAAAAAACGAAAATATTGTTAAGAGCGATAAGAACCATTTGAACTTAATTTTGTGATCGATTCTAAGGTAAGTTTATTGATCTCTGCCATTTGTTTTTTTTTTTTCAGAAATCATTAGACATGATAAATTAAAATTATAGATATTATATATTATAATTATGAATCATGTTAAAAGTTATAGATAAGCTTTTTTTAGGTGGCGTCACCATCAATATTGTCTTCATTCTCGGCATTGCGCCATCGTCAGTCATCGTTACATTATGAATCTCGTATCCAGAGCCTGCATTTTTGCCGTTCAGCGGACGTCAATTCGAGCTACCGCTGACATCCAGCCGTGAAGACTCTGGGCTCGGTCGACATGACTATATGATATTCGATATAATTATCCATCTCTACATACCTGCCATTTTTACTCTGAGCTACCCCATTTGGCCCCACCATGCCACCCGCTACGTCATAAGATTTTGTACCATCGAAAAACACAACGCCAGACTTCAGAAAACGTGATAAGAATACCACTGATACTACCCGAAGGAACAATCGGTCGAAGTGAAAGAAATTATCGTTTGTGACGTAAAAACTGTCTGGACCTGGGTGAAAAAACAAGTACGAAGATTGCTGTCTAGCCTGCGTGGCGGCTCTAGGGGAGAGGGGAAGGGGGAAAACGGGGGAGGGGAGGGAACCTTCCATTTTCCCCCTTCCCCCCTCCCCTAGAGCCGCCACAATGATACCACATGGAACCCAAGTATGATATGTATGATACACAGGCAGCCCAAGTATGATACACAGGCAACCCAAGTGGTATTTTTAAGGAAACCCAAACTTGATTAACAATACGTACCTACTGCCGAGACGTCATTAGGACTGTGGATTTTCTCATCTACTATCGAGCGACGTAGCTCGAGCGTTTTCGATTTTTCATCAAAGTCAAAAACTTCAATTGCTTGTGCGTCTGGTCTGTGATTAACCACAAAGACTGACACCACCCCTGTGGTGCCATCTTTGTACAGTGAAATGCCATGTGGGTTAAATCCTGTTTTGTTGAACGATTTTAATTGTAATTCTTGAGGATCTTTTTCTGGGTCCTTCATATCGAACAAATACATTCGACCCTTTCTTGCTAACACACGTGAGTCACAATGAAGCGATGTATAGTACCTAACGCCCTGAAAAAAACATATCATCAACGGCCACATTACTATTTTTGTATTAAAAAAAAATTAATTTGGCTTTGAAAGGATTTACAGACATTTTATGATTCGCCTTTAATACGATTCTGATGGATGCTAAATCTGGAAGTGACTCCGTGATCTCCTTAGTAACAATAGACCTCTGCAGCTTTTACGTCATGTACCGTATACGCAATGCATTGTAGGATATGTTTGGGATAGAACATGGCGGATTTCTTTTGTTTTCTTGAAATTGATCCCACAATGCATTGAAAATCAAGTAGTGACGTAAAAGGTTTAGAGGTCTATATAGACATCCCTCTCCCCTCCCCTCCAAATGAATATCAAAAATCTAGATTCAAGTGATCGGGTTGATAGCCTTACCGATGAAAAGATCGCAAGTCCATTGTCTAAAACTTGTACATCTTCAGCTCCATCCACTAAAAATAACACATATCATTAAAACATTAAAATAATGAATGGATGAATGACTGATCGCATAAACATAGCCAACCTCGTTCCCAGGCCATTTTCCCAAATGAATAGTAATGAACCTGGGAACGAGGTTAATGACACGAGGTCACGAAAAGAAAACATTTAATAGACATTCTCAAAAATTATCGCAATACTCAAGCAGTATTTTTAACTCAGTGACTTCAAAGCGTCACTGGAAGAAAATAACGGCATTGACATAGGATCACTGCTGACAGTCTCTTGCTCTGGACGACTAAAGGTACTTAGGGGGCACGCATAAGGCACAACGATGCCCACAACGATTATTTCTCTCTCTTTCAACCTACCATTGTATGTTTTGCATTGACCTGGTGCATGATTTATAATCAAGGGATGAAAATACCCGCCACGAATTCTGAAATAAAAGAAATTGTTTAAGATTAGCTAGAAAACCAACGGTTCATTGAGCGCGGTCCAAATGAATATATTAGAGACCTTAAGATGCACCGGGAACTATCCATACCGGTACACGTAAATACGGTAAATATACACCGGAAATACGGGTAGATTTAATACCGGGTAGACAAACGATGACATATAGGTAAACATGGACGCCTTTTTGTATAAAGTGTGAGATAAACACGCTCGCCTACCCGTACCAGTGAACCGAAACGGCGTGTCTTAAGATCTCTGTTATTATATCTTACAGCACAGTTTTGAGTATGAAAGACATCAAAATAGCAACGAAAACTACAGCAAGTGCTTGTGTGGTCTTTCCCATAACTTGAAGATAATAAATGCTATATAGAGCGCCAAATATATATGACAATGTCTTTCAAACGTTGAAAAGTGAAGAATTTGAAACTATGGACTTCAAACTGCAATAGAAACAACGCAGTTTATGATTTATGGGCTACCTGTGGTGCTTGATATCAGCTGACCCTAATGTTCGCGGGCGAATTGTTATTGGAGACTGGAAACAACGTAATGTAAACAGCGATCTTGCCGAAAATACTCATATATTTTTAACGAAAGATCGATATTAGAATCCACAAAAATGGAGAATAATAACTTGGATCATACAAATGGGTATGCTAGCTATCCTAATCTAGAAGAACAACTCAAAGAAAGTAACGAAAAAGAAAAAGATTCGATGGAAGTTCCCTCGACTCCGYTWCAACCTACATCWCCTGCACCACAAGATAAAGTACAAGAAACTGACTTCGATTTTTGGAAAGTGAACAGTTATAAAAAGACRGTTAGGCGAGTAGACGATGGCGCTAAGATGGCTGATGATTTTATGAAGATGGTTAGCGAGAGAGCAGAGCTAGAAAGCCAGTACTCTTTAAAGTTACAAGGTAAGATTTTCTAAAAGTTTTCTTTAACTTGAGTTATAAGAAAACCCAGTTGAATTGAGCTTTTAGCCCACAAAAAAGAAATGACCGATTTTTTAAAAGTTTTTGAAAAACAGTCAAGTGTATACTTGACAAAAAGATGCTCAAAACGCACAAATATCACGTTTAATGTAAAACAGGCATGTCTGTGCCCAAGATTTTATTATTACTTAATAAATTATTAATACTTTCATACAGTTTAGTGAACTAAATATTGTAATTGTCAACTGCATCTGACTTTGAAAAAAACAGACATTTAACAAAGTGACATATAAAAAGCAGTATAAAGAAGCTGGAGAAGCATGCGGTGATGATATATAGCAGAAGTGTTTAAGGCCCAATATTATGTGAATTTGAATTCCGTGCACCAATATTATATCCATGGCAACCATTTAGCAGGCTAATAATACTTAATGATGCCTGAGGGAGCATTGGAAATATGCCATTATAATGATAATGAAATACTAAACAAAAAACCTGGGTAAAGTATTAAAGAACCTGTAACTTGAACTGAAGGTTTAGCAAAGTTCTGTCAATGTTTTCATTGACAATTAAACTGGTTAAGTCTTCTTGTGAATCAAGAGTGACCTAGCACTGTGGTGTTTATCCCTATCTGTTGGGGTCCAAGTTTGAGTGACCTTGTCCGGTCACCATATATGATAGTTACTTAGTTGCTTTGAGAGCTTTATCCCCCATTTTGCAGGCTTCTTTCTCTATCAAAAACAACCTAAAATGTTGTTAGGAGTTATGAGTGTCAGTATACATGCCAACTTCCTTATTTTATGTAATACTTTTATCTCATGTAGGCTGGAGTAAAAAATGGTCTGACTTGATATCTAAAGGTCCTGAATATGGTTCCTGTAAATCATCCATGCTTGAATTTACACAGGAAGCCCAACAGCTAGCTGTAATCCAYTGTGAGCTTCAGAATCAGTTGATAAACAATGTATATAACAGTATAACGTCATGGAAGGCTGAAAACTATCATAAGTCCTTGTTGAGCTGGAAAGAAACYAAAATAGCTGAAGAGAGTTTTAGTAAAGCRCAGAAACCTTGGGCAAAGAAGTATGACGAAGGTAGGATAATTTCTTTCTTTAATCATTTCATTCTATTCATTTATTTAATCTTTCATTTGATTTCCATTCATTAATCCAGCCATTTGCCCATTCATCCATTTTTTATTCTTCCGTTCATTTATTCATCATCTATTCATGATTATCCAACACTGAACCAAATACTAAACTTCTTCTACCTTCTTCACAGTAATGAAATGCAAGAGGTCTTACTTCACAGCTTGCAGAGCACGCGATCAAGCCGAGAAACTCTACAACAACAGCACTGTCGAATCAAGTAACGTGACAGAGGAACAGACCAAGAAACTTAAAGACAAACTTACTAAATCAGAAACCGAGGTGTCTTCCACTCAGTCAAAATACAAGGAGGCCATTCGCGATATGACAAACTACAACCCAAAGTACAAAGAAGACATGATTTTTGTCTTTGACAAGTTGCAAGAGACTGAAGAGAAGAGAAAAACGTTTGTCAAGGAGACGATGAGATCACTTTGTAAATGTCTTGATCCAGGACAGTTCTTTGAAAGGT